AGATTTAGCTTAAGTGATTTTAAAACAATTTAGTAGTTTTAAAAGGACAGAATTAATATATTAATAAATAAATGTCAACTCAATCAAATATATAAAAAGATGCAAGGACAGGGAAAGATAAATAGTGACTCAATCATTAGTTAAGAACTTAAGATTAATTAGTATATTTTTAATTTCGCTAGTCCACCTAGAAAATATTCAGTTTTGAATAAGCCTATTGGTTTATATATACAAAATTTTGCCATATAAAAGATCAACGCAGAGTGATTGAGTTGGAGTTGATAGGGCAATTCATCACTTAACTTCCATTTGGATTTGATCCTACATAGATATATTATTGATTTTGTAGAATAAAAAGGGAAAACTAATTTACCTAATGTTCATCGTAATAGTAATTGCATATTTATCGATTTATAAACGAAGAATTTTCCTTTTCACGTATAAAGAAGTCAAAAAGTCTCCATCCACCAGACAATAATTAAAGTTGAGCATACATGACTGATTAAATGTCACAATACTAATTATTAATACAAGTAGAAACTTCGTTAACTTTATTTTCTATTCAATTATAATATGGATATTAAAGTATACAAGCAAATATGTTGAATATTAACATAGTAAAAAATAATAAATCAAACCGTCTATTTTCGTATACCTTTGTATTATGATTTGTGACAATATTCATGTATATTGTACATTGTATATGCTTCCATGACATTTAAATATTTAAAAAATAAAATATAATAAGTCAAGAACGAATAATTCTAAGTTGTATTTGAAACCTAGTCTATATTAATTAATATTTATATGATGTAATAAAAAAGAGATCAGATGATTGTTTTATTTTAAAACATGTAACCCTATCAAACTTGTGAGATGATTGATAGCTTGAAGAAATTTCTTTATTGAATTGTTTGTTGATTTTCAAATGTGTTACTTTGAAGTATTGAAACCTAGTTATTTTTTTTAAATCCGGTAGATATGCTACACCACCAGTATAGAAACATCATTATAATATTTTTCATTCAATGTTGAATATGATATCAATAGTTTTTACACTCATATCTGAGTGTAGTTTTTATTTTCCACCCTTTTTTATAGGATTAAATAAATCATATTTTACGAAAAAATATATATATCCAATCCTATTTAGTATTTTATCTATGTTTTAAGAAATAAACATAAACACACACATATGACTAAAAAGAGATTTTTAAAACAAATGCAACCTCTTAAATGTAGTGATTATAGTGGTAATTTTAGTAATAGATATTTGTGTTTATTTGTAAGCATATAACTATCATAGTTCTATACTCATAATGATTAAGGACGCTTGTATTAGGAAAAAAAATCTTGATCTAGACTGATATGGTATGATCTGGCGTGAACTGGTCTGGTAGATGTGTGGTCTTGATGTTTTTTACAACTGTTGAAGTCTGATATGACTTGAAACTGAAATAAATCTAAGTAAATACTATTTTGTCAAAACAAAGGCTAAGATTAACAAAAAGTGGGAATCAAAAGTAACAAAGACCGTGATAGTATATTGCGCTTTATTAGCTTTTTTGAATAATACTTTGGCTTTTGCTAGATGATAGAGTGATCCAGCTCTAATCCCTAAATAAAAACATCCTAATGAATTTAATAAAGAGAGTTGCTTTGCGCACCCCTACTATTACTTTACGTAACTCCAAGTAGACTAGTTTACCTTTTGACGAAGTATTTTATTTATTAAGAGTGTGTTTGATTGACTCTTTTCTCAGTTTATTATCGGGCTTATTCACCAAACACGTAAATTTTGATATTGCACGCTGGATTGTGTAATAATAAGAAACATAAGGTTGATTTGGGTAAGAGTAAGAGCTTCACATTTCACACGCCACACTAGCAACATAATTAATTTCAAAACTGATCCTTCATCCATTTAGTTTGGTCCCTTGTAGCAAATTAAACTATTCTTATTCATAGAATGTTATACTCACAATTTTTTCATTTTTATACTACTTTTTTTTATAAAAATACATAAAATTAAATAATTTTTGTGATCTTTCTTAAGACACCTATATTGCATATGTATTTTGTTTTAAAATCTGATATGGTTTGTCTTCATCAATTTTTGTATGATATGACATGTTGTAATATAGTCGGATAAATGTTTGGTGTGTGTGTGTGTGTGTATATATATATATATATCTTTGCTCAGATAATAAGAGCCAATTGATGTTAACATGGTCTTTTTTCCGTTAATTCCGTCTCCATTTACTGCTCATTCCCTCAAACTCTTGTCTACAGTAAGTCTTACCCTTTCTCTGCGTCGATTCACAAAAAACTTACGTGTTCAGTTTTGGGCACGACATGGCGGCACACCTTTCCATCCTTTTAATCTTCCAAAGGGTACATTTTCAAATCTCTTTAATTTCTCCAATGTGTACAAGGTAATTCGTTTTCCGAAATTACTAATTTGATTTCCTAGATTTGCGATAGAATGGTTTTCCGAAATTGCTAATTCGTTTGTCATGGTTGCAAGCTCTATGTCTACAAGCTTACATATCATCTCGGCTCCCTCCTGAGTCCACCTCGTTTACACCTTTCGTAAACAATAGTTTATATAGTCAAACATTTGATGAATGTCTATTAACTATTCAACAAAATGCACTAACCACATTTAAAATTTAGGATTTAGTTGTCGACATACAGTGACTTCTTCAATTTAAAACACACTTAATAAGAAGAAATTCATATATTGATTTACAATCCTAAAATTTTCATCGTTTTTTACATGTGCATTTCTTTAGATTATTCATGCTATTAATTTTCAGCACACACAAAAATAATATACCTAATTTGGAAACTTACTTTTACAATCAATTGATTTCACACATGTTTATCTCAAATAAAAAATTCACACAAAACCTTTCGTAAGTAATCACACAAAAAACATGTAATTATTTTCAGCACACACACATGTTTTTTAAAGCAAAGCAAAATACTTTTCTGTAAACACCCTGATTCCTTTGATGCACAATGCTATTTAGAAATGGTTGTCTTGATGGAAAATTATTATGGGCATGATGTTTTTGTTGATGGTACCTCCTTCATGAAGAAGATGAGCACTTAATTCTCTTAGAAGAAAGCCCGACCACATGTTTCACTGAGCTATCATTGTAACTGAAGCTATATATAATATCAATTTTTTTCATACAAGTTGCTTTGAAGAGCAAGATCTTCTTGATGTGGGAAGATGTCACTGAAGTACTTTGCGGTGTTGAAGGAATCGACAAGTGAGGTGTTGTAATCATTAGGGCAGTTTCTTCCATGTGACGATTTGCATTGAGTGCGTAACGAATCACCTTTTGTTTAAGTACATCCCAGAAAAATCCATTATGCATATTCAATTGCACAAACAAAAATAACTTCAATAATGAGCATAACACAATCTTCATCTTGCGACTGCATAGTAGCTTTTCAAAGTAACTTGACATCTGAAAGAACACAAGACAACCAAAACATATCCAAGAAATGGAAACCTACCATTAAAGAAAGTAAAATTCAATTATTTTATTTGATGAAAATGTGAAATAAGTAACATGAGTATCAATCAAGCATTTCACGTGATGATGACAAATTTACGATAATTCAAAACCAATAAAAGAAATCAAACTATCTACTTGTGCTTCCTCCATCCCTATTGAATGTTTTTGTATTCTTTAACCCTGCAACAGTGAAGATGCCGAGTAACCTAAAGGTTTTGGTCATAGCACTTTTGTTGAAGGTAATCATGAGGAGACGTTTTTCCATACATCACTGGGAAACACTTGCGCTTTTGCTTATATGGAGTATGTATTAGGGTGAATGAAGTGTGATCTCTGCCAGAAGGATCTATTGCTATTGGGTTTCCAGTGAAAACAATAGCGTATTTGTACACACTGATTTTTGTTATTGTTCCATCAATGGCTTCAGTTTACAATGAATATGCCTAGAAGAGCCAATAATATGATACCAGTCATCTTCACAAGTTTTTATGTGGTTATGTTGCAATATTCAATTTTCTTGGAATACTCATATCCACCCTTTTCAAAGGACCTCATAGGTTCATAGCTTGGATATTTTACAAATTACAAGGACACTCAAGGGTGACTGTTTGGCTCTGATATCATGTTAAGACCCGGGGTTCCATCCTAAAAGGCCAACCTGATAGGAGGAGGAGTAGCTCATGTGTTAATATAACACTTTGTTCATCCAAATGTTTCCGGTGTGGGATATTTAACACCCCTCCTCACGACCAGACACTTCGTCTAGATCGTGCAATCAATCATTTTTTTCATCGGTCCGTTTTTTTCATCTGGCCGTTTTTTTAATCGTGTCATCATTTTTCATAAGGGGTGCCACACCATGGATCAATTTGGCTCTGATACCATGTTAAGACACGAGGTTCCATCCTAAAAGGTCAACCTGATAGGAGGAGTAGCCCATGTGTTAATATAGCACTTTGTTCATCCAAATGTTTCCGGTGTGGGACATTTAACATACTTATTTTTACACCACATATTAAAGTTCACACACATTCATTATAAGTGGTAATGTACATCGCATCTATTATATGAAAAACTCACTCCATTCAAAGCATAGGAGTATTATAGTCTCAGAGAATAATACAAAGAACAAATAGGCTGCCACGTTACTATCTTCAACAACAATAAGAAAGTAACCAAAAATTGCATATTTATACCTGTTAATAAATTGTCTTAACTCACAAATTTAAGGTGTTTATTTGTCCTTTAAAAATGATTTTTGTAAATGGCAACTCACTAAAACCAAAGTAACTTGTTACTCTTCCTACGTAATTAGAGGTCTAACTTTTTATGACCATTAAATACTTAACGAAATTGAATGCATTTATTAAATATCAACAAATTTATAAAGTTAAGCCACTTGGTTGGCCCTCCACTAATTAATCCATTTTTTTTGCCGGGGAACACCTTACCTGTTTATTTAATGGGAAAAAAAGTACATGGTAGGGGGACATTTTGCCAAAACCTACCGACATTACACAACATAAGGGTAGCTAATTGCATCAAATTTGAGAATACCCTGAAATTTCGTATAAATGTTTGGGCTATTAGTAATAAAATTTGCGTTAGCCGCAACAAAATAAGCCGCCCTATTACAAGATTTCTTAATGTAAGAATAGTCAAAATGAATGTAATGATAGATTTATGTAAAGGCTTAAAGGTTTGCTATCGTTGTCCACCTTGGGCTTTCGGTTCCTTGAATAGTCTTGAGTACCTGTAATCTGTCACTCTCAATAATGATGTTAGTGTACCTGTTATCATGAAACAGAATTTTCAGGCTGATAACAATATCACAAAATATGGAAGTGTAGTCAGACTGATTATGAGTATTGAACTGGTAATGTATCATGTGCCCCTGGCTATCTCGAATGATCGTTCCAGAAATAATATTCTCATCCCTTGTAGTTCTGATGGCTATGTTAATTCTGATGAAGTTGGCAGGAGGTCTAGTCCAACTAAGAACTCGGTTGGTATGTTTTTGAACTTTCAACTTGGGTTTAATAATCTGGATGTCTAAAATGGGGGCTCAGTGGCTTTGGTGACAAAAGGTTTGGCCCAACTAACATCCTTAATCTCCTTATTGATAATATTAATAACCTCATAAATTAAAATATCAGTATCATCATGAATGTACATGTTTCCTCTTTTCCAAATAATCCAACAAATGTAGATAGCAACCTGGCTATTAAGATTTTCAAAATCATCTTTGGCAGTGAACCAGTGATTTAAAACAGAATTTAGAGACTCACTATTATGATTCACGATATTAAGAAGGTTACTGTAATGGGTCCAAAGTTTCTTGCTTAAATCACAGGAGGTATAACAGTGGTCTCTTGTATCAAAGTTATTGCAAAAGGGACGTTTAAAGGGGCCATGACTGCCAAATAGGTGTAACTTTTCCTGAAAAGGTTGCAAGTTGTTTATCACCTTCCACATGAAGAAAGAGATTTTAGTAGGAATGTTTTTATTCCAGATGTTCTGAATGCTATTATGAATACTTCTGTTAGGTCTGATTTCCTCATAGGCACTCTTAAATGAGTATGATCCTGCAGGAGTAAGGGTCCAAACCATAGTGTCATTGGTAGAAGAGAAGTGATGAATAGTATTCTTGATGCTATTAAAAATGTGTTCAGGCACCATAGTCTGTATCTCTTGAAAAAAAGAGGGGTGGTGATAGGCCTCTTTGACAGTAATTTGATGGTGCAAAATCCCCTCATTGTTGGAGTGGTCCTTTAGCCTGCCAAATTCAGACCAATTAGAATTCCAAAAAGAAGACTGACCATTACAAATCACAAGAGTAGTAAGACTATCAAAATCATGCTTGACCTTAGAGAAACCTTTCCACATATAAGATTTACTGGGGGTTTTAAGCTTAGAAAACCAAAGCCCCCATAAACCAGTGTTATTGGCGGCTTTCCATAAACACTTAAGATAGAAGCATTTTTTAATAAAGAAAATATTCCTGAAGCCCAAACCATTTTCGTTAACAGGATAAGTAATCCTATTCCACTTTATCCAGATATGACGTCTATTAAAATCAGCACTGTACCACAAAAATCTGGAGCACTTTTGTTCAATAGTTTGAAGAACAGTTTCCGGGATAATAGCACTGGCCATATGATATAGGGGGAGAGTGGTGAGCACAGATTTAATGAGGGTAATATGACCACCAGGAGTTAAAAATTTATTTTTCCAACCAGCCAACTTTTGGTCAACCTTAAAGACAATGTTATCAAAGTGGCGAATCTTAGGTCTTCCTTGGAAAATATTAGCACCAAGATAAGTAAAAGAGAAATAACATTTCTGGATACCAATTTTTTTCAGCATTCTTAATGGTGGCTTTAGGAGCATGTTTACCACAGATGTAAAAACTTCTAGTAGTATTAATTTTCTGACTATAGAGCTTTTCGTAATCATGGATGCAAGCATTCAAAGATGTGAGAGATCTTTTACCCGCATTAGAAAAGATAACCAAATCATCCGTGTAGCTGAGATGAGAAACAATAGGCTGCTCAGGATAAGTATGAAAAGGAATGCATTTACCTTCTGAAACGTATATATATGTGTGTGTGTGTGTATATAAATGTATTGTGTTCTCACGTTAAGCATTGTTCTCATTTGATCTTTATTATACACACACACACACACACACAAATGATCCTGTCCAAACGTTCGGACAGGATCCTCCGTTCGAACATCCCCGTTCGGGGCCCTTCCCGGTAGAACTTTTTGATGAAATTTTTTGAGCATGTTCCTCATCAAGTCTAGTTTGTCCATACCAAATTTGAGCTCAAAATTCGATCGGGAAGGCATTCAAATCATTTTTTGAAGTTGACTGCGTTTTTATATGTATATTTTGACGCAGTCAACTTCAAAAAATGATTTGAATGCCTTCCCGATCGAATTTTGAGCTGAAATTTGGTATGGACAAACTAGACTTGATGAGGAACATGCTGAAAAAATTTCATCAAAAAAATCCACCGGGAAGGGCCCCAAACGTCCATGTTCGAACGATGTTCGGACCAGGAATGTTCGGACCTTAACATTCCTCTCTCTATATATATCACATACATAGTCATCTTAATTTACAAAGTGCAAATCAATCATAGCCATCCATTTCGATGAGATCAACCGTGTATTAATTTGGAAGAAGCTAAAATTTCTCCAAAATAGCTTAACCGTATGGAGTTAGAGAAAAAACAGGGATTACTTCCCTATTTTAGAGGCCCAATGAATTGTTGCCATTGATTTTGTAATTTTGGACGGATGAGATGGATTTGTATTTTGCACCGAAAGCATGTTTTGTATCCGATCTCACCCCCCCCACACACATATATATATATATATATATATATATATATATATACCATTTTCTAAATATAGTCTTGTATGATATGGTCTAATCTATTTATGTCCGATATGTTTAAATTTAATTTACGCTAGTTGATCTGTCATCTGTGTAAAATCAGTCCAATTAACAAAATCACATGATATTGATGGAGTTTGAAATGACCCAGTCACGCGCTTTTGGAATAAGTCAAAGAATTATACGTAGTATATCATAAGGTTGCATGGTTTGACACGGTTTGATGATACGCTAAACCTGTCACCATATCGTAACTATTTAAATGGCGTATGGGTCAATTTCAGAATTAAAGTTTGTTAGTACAGTCATATTTCTAAATGGCGCGGTGCCATTTCATAATGATACAAAATCACATCTCTTTTTAAAATTGTCTCATAATAATAGAAAAATGTTTAACATAAAAAAAATTTAAAAGCTTCTATTCATAAATATCATCAAGTTTTTGCCATATTTTAAAATGTTAGGTAAATAATAATTTATTTGTCTAATCATACGATGACACATAAAAGAAGTATGTTTAAATAAAAACGGAGAAGATGTTTTTCAAAACAAAAATAATACAGAAGAAGAAGTTCAATTGAAAACTAGAGCCCATTTGGTAACTCTGTTTTTCAGCTTATCAGACTTATCAGCCAATTTTTTAACCAAACACATAACTTTTGATTTTGCATGCTCGTTTGTATAATTATAAGAAAACAATAAGGTTGTACTTACTTTTCTGGCTGTATGGGCTGAAGTTATTGTAGACGACCATTTTAGCTATTTTTTCATATTACTTTTTTTTATTAACAAATTACTCCGTATATTTTAAATATAATTTTTTCACAAATTAGTAGAATCATTCAATAAAGCTACTTTAGACCAAAATTTAATAAATTTCACCAAACTATAATAAGGAGTATGAACCATATACTTTTTTTTTGTGAAAAGTATCCCAAAACTTTTGTTAAAAAGTGTAGGGAAAAATAATTAAAATACCCCAAACTTTGAAGGGGTGTGGGGTAAGCACCCCAAACTTGCATGTGTTATTTAAATACCCCAAACTTTATATAAAAAGTTATATTAGCACCATAGTCATATATTACTACCTCCGTTCTTAAGTAAATGCAACATATGAAATTTTACACTATTCACATGGTCTACTTTGACTATATTTTATTTATTAATGTATGGATATATTTTTATGAAAAAAATATTGTTAAATTTGTCTCATTGTAAAATTTCAATATCTATTTTTTTTAATTTTTTTTACTAATATAAATTTATATATATTAATGTTCAAAGTTGTGTCTCGGCAAGTGTGAAATGTTGACCGTTGCATTTATTTAAGAACGGAGGAAGTATTTTTTCTCAAAAATGTTAATTTTTTATATTAATTTCATAATTTAAAATATTTTAGCATTCATGAAGATACAATTAACACTCTAAACTTCTATTGTAAAATAAATATTACTCCCCCTCACTCTACATAATTGCAACGTTTTGAATTTGCTAATTTAAATTATGCAATTAACATCATAAATTTACATTTTTTAAACAAATGATACATGACTATGGTGTTAAGATAACTTCTTATATAATGTTTGGGGTATTTAAATTACATATGAAAGTTTGAAGTGTTTATCTCACTTCCCTTCAAAGTTTGAGCTATTTTAATTATTTTTACCAAAAATGTATAGAAAAGTGGCACGACCAAAACTAATAAGGAGTAGGACAAGAATGTCTAGGTTTGAGAAAGATTGGTACGCCCAAAACTGCATTATTTTGGGAGATCGTCCGTTTAATAAATTTAACAAGGCAAAAACCCTTGACCCTCGAAATTGGCGGTAAAGTCACACATGAACTGGACATGTTTAGGTTTGAGAAGGGGAGCAGGTACCTGATTGTTTGAGCAAATACTGCAGTTTTACTTCACCTTAGAGATGCCGACGTACAAAATAAGGGGAATTGAAGTGGACTTCCCCTTCGAGGCTTACGATTGCCAGCTTGTTTACATGGAAAAAGTCATTCAATCACTTCAAAATGTATTACTTGACTCTCTTTTCTAGTTATTTATTCATTCATTTTGTTCTTTGTCGTAAAGTGTCGTGCTTTACGAAAAACTATTCCGAGTTGCCCTTCATTTGAAGCAACCGATTTGGAATGGTTAATTGTACCAGAGAATGCCAATATGTTAAACGGGTGACAATTTCTTTGGAGATAAATTTTGGGAATGAAAACTGTTTAGAAGCAGCAATAAAATTGATTAAAGTTGAGCAATTTAATCATTGTTACCGGTTTCATGAGAAAACAAGTCATTTTATTGGATAAATGTAAAAGTCATAGTTGGATAAATGTTTCATAACATCAATTGTTTCTAACAGGGTATGTCATAGTAATTAAGTAAGGGGTTTTCCTGTTGGGCAATCCTAAGGAAGCCCAAAAAGAAATAGCCACATCCACAAGAAACAATACCTCAACAAGAATTGCTGTGCTCACTACCAATGCCATTATTAGCTTTTATCTCAACACAGAATTACCATTTTTTTTTATTGTTACCACTTTCCATTACTTACTGGGGAGTTTTGTTTTGAAAATTTGATGTTGCAGAAATGTAATGCACTATTAGAGAGTCCGACCGGGACTGGAAAGACACTTTGTCTCCTTTGTGCCACATTGGCTTGGAGGAAGAGTTTGGGCAGTTTTTCTGTGCGCAAGTGTGAAAGAAAACGTCAGAGTGGAGGCTGCCAGGAGATGGGTGATAATTGTTCAGTATCACAGTCTGAATCATCAAAATTGCCTGCTATTATATATACATCACGCACTCACAGTCAGATTAAGCAAGTGATTAATGAGTTGAAGAGGACAAACTACAGGTCAGAGGCTCAAAACTTTTGAGAGTGGTCTTATTGTCTATAACTTTACAATTAATTTGCTTTTATAGTTTGTGAATATTCTTCATCCCTAGTATCAACCTTTCAAATAGTTTATCTCTGGCATTTTAAAACTAATTTGACCGGATATTATGTAAACTGCAGGCCCAAAATGGTTGTATTAGGATCTCGAGAACAATTGTGCATTCACGAAGAAGTAAGTTTATTGCGTGGGAAAATACAGAATAATGCCTGCCATTTGCTATGCAAAAGAAAGGCAAAAAAGTATTGTGCCCATTTTCCTCGTGTCACAGGTATGGGTTGTACTCTGCATTCAGTTTTGCTTACTGTGTACACTTCCAAGTCCCAAGTCCGAACTGACAAACCATCTTCACACTTTCCTATGACTGTGCCTAATACTCACTCATTCCCTCAGGATGATTTTCTGCATATTTTCTTAATGGTTGCCTCTCCATGCTTAAATGCATCAACAACATATGCAATTATTTTATTATATATGGT